TAATAACTGAATTTGGGCATGGGTTTTGTTCAGGACATAACACCTATCAAATGTGTGAAGTTTGGGGCAGATTGGACACTGCTTGCCTGAGTTACAGCAACTTCCTGTTTCATGGCGAAACATCAAACTTTGTCAGGCCGCCAGGGACACGCCCCTTGATGAAAACTCAAAATCTTCGCAATTTAACGTCACAAAGGCCTTATGATGACCCTCACCAAATTTGAAGATGATCCGATTAAAACTGTAGGAGGAGTTCGTCAAAGTACGAGGCCTGGAAATGTCAAAAACTGCACAAAAATTGTACAGGAAATTGAAAATAACGTACATCCTGTTGGGTTTTGGGTTTTGTACCAAGAGACTTTTTTGTAGGTAAGGGTGTGTTACGCATGTGTACCGATTTTCGTACATGTACGTAAAACATAGCTCGAGGCGCACTCCGTTGAAATTTTACAGGTGGCGCTATCGAGCCATTTTGCCACACCCACTTCTGAAACCCATATCAGATGTAAATTTTCACCAGTTCTGACGCGTGTGGAAAGTTTCATGAGTTTTGGAGAATGTTTAGGCCCTCAAAAATGCGATTCACTTTGGAGAAGAAGAAGAAGAAGAAGAAGAAGAAGAAGAAGAAACGTTGCAATTCCAATAGGGTCCTCACACCATCGGTGCTCGGGCCCTAAATATGACTTTATTTGAGACCTACTACAGCGCATGTGCGTAAAATATCCACTACCTAGTGGATATAGTCCAGCTACGTCATTGTGATGCAAGCTGCAGCAAGGACAGACTCCATCTTTTGGAAAATTGAGTTTTAAAAATAAAAAATTATCACTTTTACCAGTAGATGGCTGCAGAGCTACACTATTTGCTATTTCACTAACTGAAAGATATCTTTCCACAAGTTTTTTTTTTTCAGTTGGATTCATATCTGCATATTCTGACATCACAATTTTAACAATAAAAATTATTTTTTGTGAAAGTTTAGCATTTTTTATATTGAAAAAAATCAGTGTTTCAATCATGTTACAGTATGATTAGAATCAAACTTGAACAAGATGTTACAAAGAGAAAAGTTGGAGTCTTTAGAGTTTATCATTTATTTAAAGGGGTCATATGATGCTGCTAAAAAGAACATTATTTTGTGTATTTGGTGTAATGAAATGTGTTTATGCGGTTTAAGGTTCAAAAAACACATTATTTTCCACATACTGTACATTATTGTTTCTCCTCTATGCCCCGCCTTTCTGAAACGCGTCAATTTTTACAAAGCTCATCGGTCTAAAAAAGCGAGGTATGCTGTGATTGGCCAGCTATCCCGTGCGTTGTGATTGGTCGAATACCTCAAGCGTGAAATGTTACGCCCCTCACCATATTGTGATGCCCCGTCCGGCGGAAGCGATGATTCAAAAACATGAAAACCCATTATAAACGAGGCATTCGTTGCATCCAAAAATCCTCTTTGGATTTGAGACTTTAGTCTTTGCAACTTTACAGATCTTCTTTATGCACCAAGAGCTTGTAACACTCCAAAGAGAAAGGAAAAATTTAAATCGCATCATATGACCCCTTTAAATAATCTATTTTTCATATAATTCTACAAATTGAATCTACACTTCAGTTACTAACTGTAAGAAAACAAAAATTAACAAAAATTGCTAAATAAAGCAGCCTGTGCCAATTACACGTACACGCACTCAAGTTGCCCTATGTTTATCATGTTCATATTGTTTCACATGTTAATGTTGAGAAAAACAATAATATCCACATGCTTGGGTGAAAGTTGGCTCCTCAATCTGATCTCAATAAGCATTAACACAGACGTTCCAGCGTTTTCTGTCAAACCACACTCTGTCCAACAATGCATTAAGAGCCAGGGGTGTAAACTGAAATGCTGTGGGACCTGAAGGATTTTTCTGAAGAACAGCAGGCAGTTTAACGGTTCAGGACAAACAAGGGACTGAACCACTATCACTAAACAAAACAAAACAAACAAAAAAACATCGCTGTGGGTCATTCAGGTAACAACACAGTATTAAGAATCGTATGTAAGCGTATGTAAAATTTTGAACGGGGTAATTTTTATAATTTCAACTATTATTATCTCTTAACGTCTTTTATGTGAAATATCTTATTCAGGTCGGTACTAAATAAAAAATAATATGCATTTTGTATGATCCCTCTTATTTTGGTAAAATAATTAACATTTTGCAGATTCTGCAAGGGTATTTAAACTTTTGACCTCAACTGTAGCAAAAGTTAAATTATACTCACATGGTGTTTCCAGCTGATGTCATACTGTGTAGACACTGAAAATGATGACGCTGATCAGAAAAAAGGAGAGATTCAAATCTGTTGATCTTGATCTAGAGATAAAGTTACTATACTTTCACGCAGAGAAAGCTAGACTGTATGAGATATATGTTGTGCATGCAATAATTTGCTCATAAACATGCGCGAAGATTATATTTGATTCTAAAAAAACTGTACTAAATAAAGCGGCTGCAAAGTGTTCTGCAAGCCTGCTCTGATTGTTAATTCAAAGCAAAAGAAATATCACTTTACCTATGAAAAGAATCAAAGCGCTCACTAATGCACGTTTACATGGAAGCAATTTTGTCCCTCCCACTACGGAAGTAGTCAAGCTTCCGTTCGCGGGAAGTTTTTTTTGATCCTGGGAAATGTAGTTTAGAGATTCATTAGTTATAGGTGAATGGGCGATACAAAAAAACCACATTTCCCAGCGTCAAGACAGTTTTTGTACTAGATCTGTGAGTGTTGTCGTGCTCAATGTGGAAAAGGCTGGCTATCGGTGAGTTTCGTTTTGTGTGAAATACATGTTATGCGATGCGAATACATGAAATATACGTTTTAGTATTTTAAACGATGGTTATATAGATATAAAGTGACCTGTCAGCCTATTGAAAAGTAGACTAAGGTGGCACCATGATACAGTTATGGAATCAGTTCGTGCTCAGTGATAGAATTAATTATTTTTCACCCCCCGCTCCCGCTCCCCCTCCCCCCTCTCTCTCTCTCTCCTCTCTCTCTCTCTCTATCTCACACTCTCACTCGTCCCAAAACTCTCTCTCACCCCAAAACACACACACAGTCTCTCGCTCTCTCTTGCTCTAAAGGTGGACTCAGTGATGGATTTTCCAGAAGACTTTAACCAGCTTGACTTGCTGGAGTCTCATGGCCACATGATCCCAGTAGGGACAAAGAGCGGCTGGGTGGATGAGGAGGAAGGAGATGATGATGAAACTTGTCACACTGAAGAATGGTATCAGCAACAGGAGTTTAAATTACAAGACACTCCAACTGAACTGATATTATGGGCCGCTGAAAGGAACAGAGTAAGCAAACCGATTTTATATATATCCAGGGGTTAAATTGGAATTTATATGGGGGGCTCTGTGGTTTCAGGCTTTGAATGTTGCACTAGGGTGCAAACCATACAAAATAGTATATCAATTGACAAACTGTAAAATATTAGTTGAGAGAGCATGAATTAGTAAGAACAAGAAAAGTGTAAAATATATGCCCTAAAATGTATGAGGAAAGTCCACTGATTAGGGACCAATGATATCTGTTTAATTTTTTCTCAAATTCCATTTTATTTTATTTATTTATTTTTGTTTCCTATTCAGCTTTTTCCATAACATTTTTTTCTGGATTTCTGGATTTTATAAAAAAAAAATTAGGGCCCGAGCACCGGTGGTGCGAGGACCTTATAGAGTGGGGGAACTATGATGTCACTTTGTAGGTGGATCGGCTGCTAGCATCGCACTGGTTCCCTCGAAAAAAGCCAATAGGATTTTTCCATAGGCTTTTGGATTATCGCAAAAAATAAGCTCTGTGTTCAATCATAGTTCATGAAACTTTTTTTATTTTTTTTATTGAATTTTTATTGAATTTTTGCAGACATATAAAAAGGTATTACATATGTTGCAAAATGAGATAAGGTGTCTGATCAGAAGAAAAGCAAGAAACAAAACTTAACAACAAAGAACCCCTCCACCCATAACCCACCCCAAGGGCCACCGAAATCACAAACAAAAAATTAAAATAATAAAATAAGGATATCAAAAAGCAACAGACAATACAATAAAGTCTAATCAAATGAACCCCCCATAAGGGTCTAGTCAGAAGGTCCAGATGTCACAGTAAGGTTCTCAATAGTACATAATATAGGGCTCCACATTTTGTAAAAGGCCCTCAGTGATCCTTTGGAAGAATGTCTAATGTTTTCTAGGTGGATACATTGCAATACCTCTCGTGTCCAATCCTCATGTGATGGGGGAGAGGCATGTTTCCATTTAAAGAGGATAGCACGCCTGGCCAACAAAATGGTAAAGGCAATGACGCAGTGCACTGCAGGTGATGCAATTGAAGTTGGGGAAAGGCCAAACAGGACAGTCAACGCGTTAGGGGCAATAGTGGTATTAAGGGCCTGTGAGAGTGTTCTAAAAATGTCAAACCAATAGTCTGTTAGCATTGGGCAAGACCAGAATATATGGAGATGATCAGCTGGAGATTGTTTGCATCTATTGCAGGCATCACTTCTGTTAGGAAATATTTTAGCCAGTTTAGCATTAGTGAAGTGAGCTCTGTGAAGCACTTTACATTGTATTAGGGCATGTCTAGCACAGATTGATGAAGAATGAATTAATCCAAGAATGTTCTTCCACTGGTCCTCCGATATGTCAATACCCAAATCTTGCTCCCAGGCTTGCTTAAGAGAGTCAACTGGAGATGGAGTAAGGGAAGTTATTTTACCATAAATGGTAGATATCAGCCGTCTTTGACCAGGGTCGAGAGTAAGAATTAAATCAAGTTCTGATTCAGGGGGCCGATTTGGGAAATGGGGAAATCATTTTTGAATAAAGTGCCTCACTTGAAAAAAACGGGGAAAAAATGGCTATTAGGAAGGTTGAATTTAACTGATAAAGAAGGGAAAGAGGAGAAGATTTCTTTTTCATACAAATCGTTCAACGTAAAAAGACCCTTAGTTGCCCAAATATCGAAAACCCAGTTTGAAAGGGACGGAGGAAATAAATGATTATTGGAAATTGGCATGTAAGTGGAGGCTTTGTGTAAACCGAATTGTTTCCTGAATTGATGCCAGATCTTAATAGAATTAATAACTACCGGATTGCTCGAAACTTTGTGTAGATCAAGAGGAAGCTGAGAACAAACATTAGAAAGTAAGGAACGGGAGGAAGATATTTCTATGTGTAACCAGGGTGGGCTAGAATCACAGCATCTATGGCTAACCCAGTAAAGTAGCTTATTGATATTACATGCCCAAAAGTAGCATCGAAAATTTGGAAGTGCTAAACCCCCTTCAGTTTTGGGAAGCTGGAGAACGGATTTTCTGATACGGGCTGGCTTGTTACTCCAAAGGAACCCATTTAATTGCTGGTCTAAATTAGTAAAAAAGGATTTATTAATGCAGACTGGGACATGCTGAAAAAGATACAAGAATTTTGGTAGGATGATCATTTTAATAAGATTAGTCTAATAATGATTGTCGCTGTTCAGAAATCTTATTAGTTTAATAAGATTATCAGAGATAAGGAAAGGGAGCTCCACCTAACAAAATCAGATTTACATTTTTCCACAAGTGGTATAAAATTCTTAAAAAACAAATCTTTAAACGAATTGGTAATAAATATGCCCAGGTATTTGAACCCATCCAAGGCAAGCTTAAAGGGAAATGAAGAGAGAGGAAGAAATTTAGCCATTTGATTAATGAAAACTAACTCACTTTTTTGAAAGTTGAACTTATATCCTGATAAACAGCCAAACTGCTCTAGAATGGATAGTATAGAGGAGAGAGAGGCTATAGGGTCAGATATGTACAATAGCAAATCATCCGCATAAAGGGAAAGTTTATGTACCAGGCCATGGCGGATAATGCCTTTAAATGTATCATGACTACAAAATTATACCGGTTTCACGGTACATGACGGTATTTTTTTTTCATGCATGACCAGGTGTTAACCATATTTTCTACTGATTGAGAGAGGAAATACTGCAGTATATTGACTTACAATGCCCTATTTTACTGTCATGATGAGTGAATATTGTCAAGAAATACCACACTAAATAGTGACTAAACACGACCCATTTTAATACATGTTAACCAGGAGTCACTCTCATTTATAATGGCGGCATCGTCTGATAAAATCAACATGCATCTACATTAAAGAGCGGCTATGTGGTTGTTTTGGCTATATTACTTTTTTGTCTCATGCAGCGCACCTCCTGCGAGTAACAAACTAAAAAAACAACAAACAAAAAAGTACATATTTTACATATTACATATTATATTTTACATGTACATATTAAAGCTCATATTTAAAATTCCAAACAATCAGTAAGCGACAGGTGCTAGGAAACGCTGTTTTGTACTAATTTATTGACGAGTCGGCTGTCATATCATAACATAAATAAACACCGGTATTCGGTATGAACCGGTATACCGCCCAGCACTAATTCCCACTCCACCCTATCGAACGCTTTCTCCGCATCCAATGAAATTTCAACTTCAGGGGTAGTGGGAGATGGAGAGAGAATAATGTTAAGTAATCTTCTAGTATTAAAGAAAGAATGCCTCCCCAATGTAAAGCCCGTTTGATCCAATGAAATTATGGATGGCATGGCATCTTGGAGGCGAAGAGAGAGAACTTTAGCTAAAATTTTACAATCTACGTTTAGCAGAGAAATCGGTCGGTAGTTACTGCAGGAGGTGGGATCCCTGTCTTTCTTTAAAAGGAAGGATATGGATGCCATATACAGAGTCCCCGGTAGTTGACCTTTTTGAAAAGAATCGTTATACATCTTCACCAAAATTGGGACTAGTAAATTTTAATATTCCTTATAAAATTCAACTGTAAACCCATCAGGGCCTGGGGATTTCCCATTCTGCATTAATCTAATGGCTTCTTGGACCTCCTGGGGTGAAATGGGGCTACCTAATTCTAAAGTTGGGAATTTTGGGATTGGGATCTTTGCTGAACCTGAAGAGTATTCAGAGGTATAAAGGTTAATATAGAAGTCTAAAAAAAGCTTTGTTAATTTCAGCTGGGTCTGTAGTAAGATTGCCACTAGAGGAAATAATTCTTGAAATTACCCTAGAGGCACTGGCTGCACGAGCCTGTTGGGCTAAGAGTGCCCCCGCCTTATCACCATGTTCGAAGAAACGCTGCTTAGTTTGTCACAGTTGTCTCTCTACAATGTGTGTCATCAAACAGTTATATTCCGATTGTAATACAAGTCGCTTTTTGTAAAGGGTTTGGGAGGGAGAGATGGCGTATATTTCATCAAGTTTGAGAAGTTTTTCTAGAATGTCCTGCCTTTTAGCACGTTCAACCTTACGCATGTGTGATATGAAAGAAATAATCTGACCTCGAACAAAAGCTTTCAGAGCTTCCCATAAAAATCCAATATTAACCTCAGGGGTATCATTGAATTCAATGTAATTACTAATTTGAGTGGCAACAAAGTTCTTAAACTCGTGATCTGCTAAAAGATGAGAACTAAATTTCCATAGAGATGGGGAGGTAACACTAAGTGGGAGATTGATATCAATCGACGTGGGAGCGTGATCTGAAATAACTATCGGGTGATAAATGCTAGCAGTAACCAGATGCAGCATTTATTGTCAATCAAAAAAAAGTTAATCCGGGAAAAGGTTTGGTGTGGTGGAGAAAAAAATTAAAAGACTTTGCTATGGGGGTTTTTAAATCTCCAAGGATCTGAAATTCCTAAATGAGATGAACAAGTAAGCACTACTTTAGCAGAATTTGATAAATTGATTTGCTTAGATGATGACCTATCAAGACGTGTGTCTTGCGCCAGATTAAAATCGCCCACAATCAGTAGGTGATGATTGTCGCTGTTCAGAATTTTAGCAAAAAAGTTAACGAAGAATTGCTCATCATCCCAGTTGGGAGCATAAATAGAGACTAAGACAACTGGAAAGTTGTTTAACAAGCCCGATACTATGACATAACGGCCATTAACATCTTGAATAACTTGTACTGGCTCAAACTATTGTAACAGGGTGAAGAATCACACGACAAGAAATCTCAATCAATACCCCGGAGGGTGGATTTATTGGGGTGAGGGGTGCTCCAGGTAGGTGCTCCGGTGCCGTGAGGAAAATGTGGGGAATTTCTGTAGGGAAAATGAGAGGGTGAGTTAGTGCTCAGTCTCATGGAGGAATCTCCTAGATGGCAGGGCTTGCGTGGCTTATGTAGCCGCCGCCTGATGAGGTGCAGCTGTGACCGATCAGCCTGTGATGATGATGGCCAGGTGCTCCTCGCTTGTTTCCAGGCGACGCTGATGA